TTGGTAGAAAACAGAAGGATTGTAAATATAGCAACAAATAATAGTTTATAATTTTGTCTTTACCAGTTTTAAATAATGTCAATCATTTCTAAGCTAAAAAGAAAATAAATTTGATAAAAAATCTTTTTTTGACTGATTATTACAGTAATCTTTTATAGGTTTGGTCTGTTTATTACTTGAACGACGGTTCAGATTTAGGAAACAGCAGTGCACGCTGTATTTTAACCGATATGTCTGCAGTTGTTGTTCAGTAATAGTCAGATTTCTAGAATCAATTATCTACTCAAATATTTTTTATTTTAAGAAAAAAAGAAAGGAAAAGAATAAAAATGATACTCTAATATAAGTTATTCCTTTGTCATTGTTCTTGTAAAAAAGTAGCAAAAAGTGAGTTTAAATAAACGGTTTTTTATATTGGCTATGTTGTCGTAGGGAAAAGAAGACAAAGTAATCTTTATCTTTATGATTAACTACAAAGTTTCAAGCCAAAGCACAACCAATAGTTTTTTAAACAGATTTATCACAAATATAATAAACCAAAACTGTTGTTAGATAGTTGTAATGTAGTAAAACTTTATAAATTCTATATCTGTTTCGAAAGAATTTTTTTTACCCACAGTATTAGTGTATTCAAAAAAAGCAGACTGAGGTTTCTCACTTAGTTAACTAATCATAAATGATACATTGGTACTGTGTTTTTATAAGATTGACAAAAATTATGTCTTTTTTTGAAAATAATTTCTTAAAATATCAAATAGATGTCATTTTTTGTTCTTTGTTTTTTTTTTTTTTTTAACAGATTTAGTTGACAGATACTTTTATTTTTGCTTTGAATATCGTTGTTACAAATTTGTTGACTAGAAATTTTTGATTGCTATTTTTAGAAAATAGATTTTCTTTTTTTTTTGCTTTTTTTTTCGTTTTGCTGTTATATGCTGAAAAATAAGCTGAAGTTAACGACAGCATTCAAAAAAAATCGTAAACAGATAGCTTTCTGTCAATTATTATAATATTCAAAGGAGGAAAAAAAAGGAAGATCAAACATGAAACTATAATTGTTGTAACTGAGAATGTTGCCATAAACTTGCTTTATTTATGTAAGATTAATGTTGCTATATAAAAATAACAGATAAATGTTTTTTTATTTATTTTTTTCAGAAGAAATTTTTAAGATGCAAAGTAATACACATGCTTTTTTTTCTTTGTATTCGTGACCGTAGAAGTAGTTTTTATGTGTCATTGTAAAAAATTGCTTTAATGAAACGATTAGTTGACTAAATCTTCTTTAGTTACACACTAATCGAGTATTTTTGTGGCTGACTTGCATCGGCAGTTCAATCGTCATCATCGGCAACAGTGTTGAATATACCAGAACAGGCACAACCTTGACAATTTCATCAAAAACATACAATTATTCATTGTCCTTCTGATGGCAACGCAGCTTCTGATTCTTCTTATTCAATTTTTAGCTCTTGTGACCACAAATCTGCAAGCACAACTGTATAAAAGTCTGTTTCAGTATTTTTCTCTTTTTTTTTTTTTTTACTCTTCTTGCTCTTCTTTTTTTTCTTTTTCTATGATTTATTTCAACTTTTATTTCCATTCATATTCTTTGGTCACCTCTTCGTCCGCAAAGAAGACCACCATTGATACAGTGTAAATGACGATAACCAAATAAACGGTAGAGCCTGTTTGGTGACTCAGTCCATTGAATATAGCCTCTAACTACCGTAACCAGCAGAAAAAATATAAAAAAAAATGAAACAAAATGAATAAATAAATAAAACTAACTGTAATATTCTTTTTTTTTCTTTTTTTTTTTTTGGTTTTTATACGTGAAATTATAAATTATTTTTGAACATTTTAGGTCAACTGCAGTTTATAGTACGAAACATTCATTGGTTACAGTTAATTTCAGGATAATTGTAACAGCAACAATAGCAGCAAAAAAAAAAAGGAAAAAAAAATACTCGAAAGAAGAATTAAATTTTTAAGTTGTAACGCCTGAAAACCTCAAAATATAGAAACACAGCTGCCTAAAATCAATCATTACCTGACTAAAAAATGGTGGTGATGGAAAAAGAAAAGAAGGAGAAAAACACTTAACCTGTTTTTTTTTTTTTTTATTTTCTTTAGATTATCAATCGCTATTACGTTGTTTTTCCTTTTTTCCCTTCTTGTAATTTTTTGTGAGTCTTTTTGAGTGATCTAAAAGATCAATGATTATTTTACTGAGTGAACAGCAAATTTTAATATTTTAAATTTTCAGCTGAGAGCAACAGAGCAAATTTATATGCAAACTTTTAGCAACTTTGATGGAAATAAGTGCACTTTATTTCCATAAGTAACTTTGCGTAATGCTAAAGCAAAATAATTTTACTAAAAACACTTAAATAACAATTTGGTGCAGCAAAATTTCTTGACTTTAGTTGCCTAAAACTTTATAAAATTAAGTGCTGCAACAAATGACCCCATAAACTGTAGCAGATTAACTGATACTGAAATGAAAAGATTAATTTCTTTCCTTTTTTCTGTGATCTTCAGCTACATTTTAAAAAATCTGGCTACCTTTTGCTGTTGCTTATGGAGTATTCAAATATGTCGTTGAGAGTAACTTTTTATATCATCATAAATAAGTTAAACAAAATGTCTATACAGTTTACTCGACAGTTTATCAAAATGCTCATGCTTTCAAACTTTCTGTATTATTATGTTCAGCCGGTAGGCGCGGCTACGTCACACAATTTTCTGTTACTGTTTGGCTATTTTTTTAAAACCCTGCCACTTAAAGCCAAATTTTGACTATGACGAAAAGTTCATTAAAAGTTACAAGCATCAAATGTAAATTTTTTTAAATCTTTAATAGATAGCATTTCCTGCATCTCCATTAAATTTCAAAAGTTAAATATCGAATGCTCTGAAAAATACTGTTTGTCGTAAACTAATCAGATGTCATATACTAAAGTATATACTAAAGTCATATACTAAAGTCTAATATACTCATATTGAGCACTTCACCTTATGATGCCGTTTTTGAAGGCATATTTGAAAAGCTATAAATTTAGCAAAAAATATCAATTTTTATAAAGCAATACGCAAAAAGTTAGACATAACTGAAAAGAAAAAGGAAATCAAGTCTCTTCCAACAGTAGGAAACTAGCCATAAATTATGACTTGATCTTAAGTTGACCAAGAAAATGTAATTGATGTTTGTATACGTTGTAGGGGTATGTGAAAGTCGTGGAAACTGCTTGAACTGCGGAGAATCCCGTTATTCCTACTATAAGTGTACGAAAAATCAGGACTGCTTGATGGGCGAGTATTGCGCTTCAGATGGCTTTTGCTGCCTAATACAATCCAACAAAGAGCTGCCGATGCCTCTATTAAGTTCAGGTTGAAAAAAAAAAATAAAAATTGTTATATAATCCAGATAAATTTTCAATCGTAATAACTTACGCTATTCTTATGAGAATCATTAAATCTTTTTAATTATTCTAACTAAAAAATTTTCAAATTTTATTTGTTTAGAAAGCTATAGCTTTGAGTTTTACAGAAAAGATTACACTTTGCTTTATAATAAACCAATAACAACTACTAATGCTTCTGCTAACTTCAGCTTTTAGTTAATAAATCAAGCAATAGTGTACTCGTAGACAAAAGCCAACCTTGTCCTGACGGTAGTAACTGGATGAGAAAATGCGCTACGGATAGTGACTGCAACAGTAAAGATGAATTATGCGCAGAAGGCAAATGTTGCGCAGGTCTATCCCATAAGACTGATTGCCTAGAAACTTTCAAAATAACTTAGCACTATATTTCTCTTTTTTTTTTTACAGAAAACTTACAGAGCTTAGTTCAAATGATTTTAGTTTGTAGTCAGAGGAGAAGGCAAGTTCTTGATGAACTTCCAACGACCAATGTTTTGGGTGTATATTTGCCAAAATGTACAAATGACGGGAAATTTTATCGACCAAGACAGTGTAGGATTGGTACTGACACTTGCTTCTGTGTTAACACTTATGGGCGAACGATTGCTATGGTTTATGAAAATAACGCAGATGATAAAGACGTTTGCATTACTTGGAGAAATCTGATAATCAAAAACAACAATAGCACGAGTAACAACAACAACAGTATCAGCAGTAAAACGACGGCTCAGAAACAAAAAGTTAACTGTACCAAGAATCAGCTTCAAAAGATGAATAACAACACTGAATCTTGTGGCACAGAGGTAGTGGATTTTGCCAAACACAAAGATGTTAGAGCGGCTGTAGTCAACAAAAATCAGTTCAACATCTCCTCTCTGGAACGCAGTGTTCCTGTCCGACCAAATGCCACAATTTACAACAGGGAGAAGAAAAAAAAGAATTCCATTTGTGAGCTGACAAAGGCTGGTACTTGTAAGGATCAAAATTTGATTGTACAGCGCCCTGCGAAAGATGCAACGACTGCCAGCAAAACACGAAACATCAAACTCGCCGGAATTTACCGTAAAAACTGTTAAGATTATCACTTCCATATGGCTAATTATTTTCTCTTAAAACTGCTTTGTTTATAGAGAAAAAGGAAGGAAAAGAAAAAAAAAGTAAGACAAGCCAATTAACTGAATGACCCATGTCACGTAGGTCAAACGTTAATAAGCTACAAACTAATCAATTAACGCAGTTAACAACTTATTACCGATTTATTTATAACACTTCCTTCCACTTTTACTTTCTCTTTCCCACTATAAAGTGTTGCCATAACAAAAAATAAATAAGTGATAGTAAAATTGAAATGCAATTTTTGCTTTATCTTTAGTAAATATGATTTTTTGACAGTCCATGACGAAACAGTGTGTGGGGCCAACGAGGTCTACGTAAGTTGCTTTGATCCTTGTCAGCCGACCTGCAACGCCTTAAATCGTAAAGCTTGTCGACTGGATACCTGTGTTGGTGGATGTCATTGTCGTGAAGGTTTCTTAAGATTATTTTCTAAATAACATGTTTTCTGAAGAGCTAATTAGAACTGTATTTTTCTTTTAAACTGTTTAATGCACATTTATTTGACATCAGAAGGTCATATCTGAATATGTTACTTTTCCAAGCTGCTAAAAATAAACCTTTTTGCTCAAAACCGACCAATGGCTTAAGGTACGTCGGTTTTATTCAGCAGTACCTTCAAATTATTATCAGAGATGTTGACCAACTTTTTTCCATTAAATTATTTTGATTATAAAGCCACTAATTGGAGGATATGTACGAGTTGGAAGTAATCCGCAAGCAGTTTGCGTTCCCGCTTCGCAATGCATACAGTACACTCCGATAACAGCAGATCAGTGTACAGATCCATTAAAAGAATATAGTTTGTGCGGATCAGCTTGTCCAATATCCTGTGCTACCAGAACTGTACCGCAGAATGAATGTACCGAAAGGTGTGTTGCGGGGTGTTTCTGTAGGATACCGTATATCCTAGAAAACGGAAGAGATCCACAGAATTCTAGGTCAGTTTCACTGGTAAATAAACGAGAATCTTTCTGAAATCTTTGATTGGGACATCACCAAACAATATGTGCCCAAATTGAATTTGTCGATGATTTAATAATTTGAAACATTTCAAATGTAAAATTTTGCAAGTCTCGCTAGTGAACTGTTTTTGCGTTTTCACGTTAATTTTTTTACTCGTTATAAACTTTTAGATGTATACTACCAGCGCAGTGTCCGTTGGACATCACCATACAACCGTCGAAATACCCATCTGATTTTCAAACTTCTAATTCGGTAACCCAGCCAAATCGAACCCCAAATTTCCAAGTACCAATAAGAGACTTTCGGTTTCCAATTTCCATCAACTATTTTAATCCTCCCGCTCACTACAACACTTTATCAGCTAATGTCAGGGGATATCCATGCACTGATCCATTAAAAAATTTCCTAATTTGCGGAAGCTCATGTCCAGGTATCGCTTAGCAAGGGTTCTTAATCTCTTTTTTATCAATGAAACATTAGTTCGTCAACCAGATTTTGAAAAGTAAGTATTAAAGATTGTTTACGTACCAAAAAATGGTAGAACTAGATGCAAAGTTTATCATTTTTTTTATTTTAATTTATTTAGATTCTGCAGAATTGGGGAAGTTTTAGCGTATTTATCGATGTACCATTTTGTCATGATATTTCAAAAATGCAAAAATGTCTGTAAAATTGAACTGAATTGTTTAAGTTTTAAATAGTTTTACACTACTATTGATCTCCAAACTTTTCAATCCACTTTTTTTAGTTGGTTGCAATAATCGAGTAGCAAAAACCTGTGGGACTCAATGTGAATCCGGTTGCTTTTGTCGACCACCATACATACTAAAAGACGCATCTAACCTAAATTCTGGATGTGTTCTGCCTGAAAAATGTCCAGCGGTTCAAGTACCTCAGCAAACATGCGTAGATCCAAGAAAGCAATGGGTTTCTTGTCAATCTTCAAAGTAAGCTTTCAGGAAGATGGTATAATCCAAAAACGCTACTTTTCATCGTTTTAAGCACTAATTCGACAATCACTGCTTGAGAATAACTGTAATTCATAACCATTTCAGCTGCAATCCGAGCTGTAGTAATCCAACTGGAACGTGTCAAATGATGTCCTGTAAACCGGGCTGTGTTTGTAGAGAACCTTACATTCTAAAAGATCATTCTGATTCAAATTCGCGTTGTATATTGCCCTCTGAATGTCCATTAAAGTCACAATGTGATGACCCGCTGAAGGAGTTCCGCTATTGTGCTTCTTCTTGTCCAATGGGTTGCAACAACCGAAATCCAAAAACCTGCACTCCATGTGTTTCTGGCTGTTTCTGCAAATTAGGTTACTGTTTATTTCGTTGCGTACAAAAGAAAACTGAGCCATGGGTGGCTTATCAAGTTGCTAAACAAAAGTTTTGTTTTTGCTTACAACAAAGTAGCAAATTCAGGTTACATTTTTGAAGACGGAATTAACTGGCGTACTTCTAAATGCGTACAGGTAAACCAATGCACCAACAGTTCAGACGGCACTGTAACAAAAGTTTCTGTTTTGTTACCAACATTAGGTAGTCAGATTTTTCTCTTGAAATACGTGTGATTCTTCAACCACAATTTCAGTCTTAATTTTTATTAATTTAGGTTTTTAAAAAGATAGCTATAATGCAGTAATAATACTCGGAAAAAATACTTTTAATATGCTCATAGTGTAATTCAATTTATTGTAGATGACAGCGACTGTCCAAAGAATACAGCCGATAATAACGGTAAACTTTGCAATAGCAGTTGGGACTGCCCTACCTCTCAGGTTTTATTACGAAAATGTTAAAAAATTATAAATTATTTTAGAAATAAATTTCTAAACAATTTGTATTATTCTTTAAAGTTTTCAAAACTTTGTTGCAGAAATGTTGTCCGCTTACTAATCGTGATCCCGGAAGCTGGAAAGAACGTAGATGTACCTGCAGTGATCCGCATGCCATCTGGAATTCGTGTGGATCGTTGTGTCCCGAATACTGTGGTGAACCATCAATACCGGTTTGCTCGGAGACTTGCAATCCAGGTTGTCACTGTGCACCCGGTTATGTTAGAGCTCGTAACGACATTAATGCACCTTGTGTTCTTCGTTCACAATGCATTATAATAGGTCAGCATTTTTAAATTACTTTATAATTTATCCAGTTTTGATAACACCTGTTTGGTACTTACTGTAATATAGTACAAATTACAGTTGGGTCTGGTGAATCAGAGGAATCGCCACAGGTACCACGGAATCCATTTGAAGACGAACAAATTATTGCTGTTGTTTTTTTCAATGATGCAGAGAAGAAAATTTTTGGGAAGTTGTCTGTTGCATCGTTGAAAAATAACAAAGTTAAAATATTTGGCAATTTTAATGGTAAACCTTTAATAGTTATTTGTATCAAGAAAACTATTAAAAAAAAATTATAAAAGATAATTTGATGAACAAACAGAGAGCAAAATTAGACAGTTGAATTTAAAAAATTTTAGGTTTACCATTCGGTGAACATGCAGTTGTAATTCATCAGTCAGGTGACGTATCAAATTCCTGTAAAAATATTGGCTTACCACTGAGACTGGATAATTCGACAGAAGAAATTACGTCTGTTGGTAACGTTAAAGTTGCTGAGAATACAACGGTTGTTGAAATTTGTAAGTATTTTTTGAATTTAATTATTTACCACTTTTTTTCATTATTATTTTTATTCCAAAAAAAAAAAAAGAAAAAAAAACAAATAGAAATGTTGCATTCAAGAAAAAAATTTTTTTCATCTGTTGTTGCAACTAAAATTTCTTCTTTTGTTCTAGCAAAAATTTTGGATTGGCCAGACGCACAAATGATTGCTGGCAGATCTGTTGCCGTACATTCAACTTCCATCGATGACTTTAGTAACTCTACAGCGATGGCTAATAACAGTGATACAGTGATAACTTGTGGAACTGTTGGCGTTGTTTCTAGATAACTAACAGCAACTTTTTCTGGCATTTTGTACAT